CCCCAAAACCCCAAAACCCCAAAACCCCAAAACCCCAAAACCCCAAAAAATCTGAACTATAGAATAAATTTCAAGTTTCATCAATAGCCCAAGCCAGTGACCACCAAGCAATGAGAGGGTAAGCCAGATGGCCGCCTAGAGCCGCTTAAACGGAGATTTTGGGATTTTAGTTGCGATTTCAAGGGAATTTAGACCTGAAATTGGATTTTATGGCATATAGACTAAGAAAGAAAAGTAAGAAGTTTGAGAAAGAAGGCATTTTTGTATATAAAGTAGCTAAGAATATAAAAAGAAGTGCGAAGAGGAGCACCAGAGGGGTGATTCAGAGGAATTTTAATAGTGGATTACCGGGTAGGATTAAGAAGGTCATGTTGAATATAGGTAAAAATATGTTAGATAAACATAACGGGTATGTGTCTATGTATGGTCGTGAGCTCAAGTGAAGTGGTTTTCAAAGTCGGTCTTCACAAAGGACTGAGTATTCAGAAACAGGATTTCGGACATTCAATAAACCGATGATTACTTCTCACAGAAAATAATGTTTCGTATACCTTTTCAAGAGTTGAAAGCGATAAATTCAAATAAAGCTGCTTTGAATCACTATGATGATGGCTATGTCATTAAGTCAGCCATTTGATACAAGAATCTCTCAAGTTCCAAGAGACCTAGAAACTATAGGACTGAGTAATATTTCTATTAACCATAGGAGAAACAATAGCACAGAAGGTTATAGAAACCATTCTGTGTACCATTTCAAAAACAACTATTTTTCAAATCTCTCTCAAGCTAACTCAGAATTCATAAATCCAGTTTCTCAAAGAACCGAGGATGGGAAGATCATCCATGATGTCGACATAATTGCTGAAAAAATGATATAGTTACATTGCACGATACTAAGTATGTTTTTCTCATAGAGTTTTAGGAAGCCTCAGTCAAGAAGCTTATATCACTCTCTAGATTCAAAATCTAGAAGATCCTCATTGACCAAGAGAGGTAGGTATATCTATGATTTATTGCTAGTGACGACCAAAAACGATGCTAGGGAGAGACATAATACTTTCATGAAGCACAAGTAATCACCAAATCCAACTAAGTAAACTCTGGAAAGACAAACTTGTTCAAGCTAATAGAAGTATACCTAATTCCTTGAGAATTTAGAATAAAATCTTTGCTAAACTCCAAGAACGAGAAAAGAGAAAAATGATGTTCAGTCCCCAAAATGTTAAAATAGTCTGTGAAAATTGGGCAATTGGTAATCACTCTGGGTTACTTTTAGACGTTATGCTACCCACTATGTCCCAGATCATAGCTGAAAGATTTATTCTTAGGAAACAGAACCTCAAAAGAGCCCAAGTTGTAGGCAGGAGGATCTGATGGGTTCTCAAAGCATGCGGCATGTTTATGCTAAGACATAAGAAAGGTACATCTTATTTAGTGATAGCCTCTTATTTCTTATATAGCCAAAGATCATATCGCTAGAAAGACCCTCCTCAGATATTTAATAGTATGAGAATTTCCTAAGTTGTAGGTATACATGAAACCAAAATTAAAAAGAAGGAGAAAGCAAAGAGCTCAGATTCTCTGTGACTTCCTTCGTCGTACGACACAATATCCAAACGATCCTAACAGGTAATGCACCAGTCTCATTCAAAAATAGAGCATTTTTGAGATTTGCACGACTTTCCGAGAAAATAAAATAAAAATTTAAAAACTCACCTGAGACACTCAAGACTTAAATATTGCATTATGAATTATCAATGGTCAGATTTTGAGAAACAAGAGCTCAAGAATCATAAGTATAAAGACTTAGTGACAGGAGCTGTTAAGAGAGCTCTTAATGTCCCTGAAGGAGGTGTCCCACTCAAAATCAGGCTTATCTACATGAGAGGGTAAATTTCGAACAACTTTTAGATATTGTAAATACCAACGCAAATAAATACTTCAAAGATCTTGAAAAATGGGAAGAAGAGTGAAAAGTTGTGGCAAAAGCTCATAGACAAGATCTCTGTGAAAAGAATGCAGTTAGAATACTCTCTGGGAACCAGCTGATCAAAGAAGACCCAGTTTTACCACCTAAACCCTTCATCCATGTCTTCATTCCAAAGCACAAACTTAGAGACATGGTCAGAGAATCTCTCTACAAAAGCAAGAGCTGGAAATTAATCGTACTAGGAACACTAAAATTTGCTGATTTGCCGATTCTAAAGTCAATATTAGACTAATTTTCAATAATATCTATCATCATGGGGTTTTGGGGTTTTGGGGTTTTGGGGTTTTGGGG